GACTGGCATGGCTGCCGTGGAGATATCCGTCGTAGTTGACCGCGGCGAAGTGCTGATCGTGTCCGGGGGCAAGCGGGTGCGCGCGTAGGCAAATGCTTCCGTAAACATCTTGTCCGTAAATCCGGTGCGACGCCGCACGAGCAGGGAAACCGTATTGACCTTGCGAGACTCCAGTCCAGGTTGGCCGTGGTCATTGCCCATCTCCACCTCGGCCATCTTCTCGCTGTACGACCCCAGCAAGGTCTGGCCGGTCTCGCCCCAGGCGATGGAGAAGGGGTGCGAGGTCCAGGCCCCGAGTTTCGGGATGTAGACGAAACAGTACTGGCCCGGCGAGAAGGTCCAGGGACGAGCGAGTTGCAGAGTGACGCGGACGGCGTCGCCAGGCAGCGCCTCCAGATAGGCGGTTGTGCGGCGACCAAAGCCATAGTTGCGGTAGATCAGGATCAACAACCGCGCAAGTCGCTGAGCCGCAGTTAGCCGATGTTTCTATTTTCGGACGAATATCCGCAGCAAGGGGGACTCACTTCAAACGCCCAGAAGGCGATGGCGGCATAAAGATAGTAACGGCAGGAGTAACGGTAGACATGATGCCAGAGAAATCCCACAGCCACACAGGCCAGCCCAATGTGAAGATGCAGGAACGTCTCGTAGAAGGCATGTCGGATGGGAGAAGGGGATTGAACCAGGATGACGAGCATCGCCACCATCCCCTATAGGCCAAGTCATCAGCGCTTGCCTTCTAGTAAGGAAATGTGGGGACGTACCATGAGACCATTGAACATGAAGGGTTTCGACAAGGTGCCGAGTGCGGTTGACCACCCATCTGCTCAACATTAGCCCTTGGAACCCAGGAAGCTAGAATAGACCTACAGGTTTGCACTTTTGGCACTCCCCAGGCAATGACATGGGCCAGCCCCTCCAACACGACAATGCGGCCCAACCACCGATGTAGCAGATTCCAGGTGTCGAACGAAACGCGCAGAAGCGGGATCAGGGGGTTGTTGCGGCCAGCCATGACCAGTAGGGGGAACAGATTGGCGGTGGCCATGTAACCGGTTCGGTTACGAATAAGCGCCGCAACAGTTGATTCCTTCGATCCATAGGGCACAGTGTTGGTGCACAGCACAATATTCATGACAACGATGACGGTCAGGAGCAGGGTATGGAAGCGGCTGGGCAGGGTGCCCATGTTGACGGCGCGGGACAGCTGCCATTCCTGGTTATGTCGGGAGCGCAGCAGCGGCGCATCCAAAAGGTGTCGCTTCAACCAGGCCACATGTATGTTGGGAACGCGATGGTAGGTCTGGCGGTGGTCGGTAAAACTGGCGAGGCGACGCAGGTGGGCAGAGAGACGGCCGGAGGACTGCCAGGCGAAGACAACCACAATCATACAGGCCAACACCCAGAGATTGGCATAGCAGAGGGTGTCATTGAGCATGGCATACCACAAGTCGGAGTCCATGGTGGATCAGTGTTGGCGTCACGTTGAACGAGAAGAGAAATGAAAGGACGAATCCCAGCGTGTAGAGAACGAAAAGATGCAAAGTAAAAAGTCAACTGAGTGGACCAGCCACAATGGCATAAAGAGAACAATCACCCTGGCTGGAGGCAAGAAGAGAAGGAGAAAAACAAATGAAGGACTGCGAATGGAGATAAAAATAAAGTTAACGATTGAAAGAATGGAGAAGAGAAAGAATGGACGCAAGGATAGCCGGGATGGAGAACGAGCGGATCTCGCCGGTCAAATACTATCTACTAAGTAAAGAACTACATGGAGGCGCAAACGGATCGGCGGAGATGACAGGGTGGTCGGGGATGCCATCAGAGCGCCAGATAAAGCAGATGACCGACCCTGTCAGCGGGGAGTGGTGCAGAGGAGGAAAGGCTTTACTGAGGTCTGAATCTTCATGATAGGCTGGGGGGGTTAGGGTATGCAAGGGGTGGAGAGAGAGAGTGCCGAGACGAGTCAGAGGCGGGCAGTCGACAGCTCTGCTGCCTCATCAACTCGAGACGCGCAAGAATAGTGGCTACCGAGGCCCAAGCCAGCCGGTGATCCCTCGTCCAATCAATCGGGCGAAGAAAGCGACCGGCGCCTGGCCCAACGGTCTTGGTTTCACGATCAAATTGGCTGGGGGTGAGGCGTGGGTCACGGGTAGGGCTGGTTGCCTCTTGTCTATTCTTGTTCTGCTTGACAAATCATCTCGTAATAATCCCCTCAACCGAGAGCAGTCCAAGGGAATTGAAGATTCAGAAATTGAGGGTTAACAATACCTAGTATAGGGTTCACTAACAATGCAATGGCTGCCTGCACGGAACAGAAATGCGCGCTAATCAGCTAATTAGCTGATAGGGTCCAACAGGGATGAGTCTAATCGACGATCCCAGTCAGCGCCAACTTAAACAAACCACACCTGAAGAATTCTGCATCTCTCTGTCGTCTCTTCGTCGAAACAACACCCCCTCTCACCTCGTCGGCTACGTGTATAGCCAGCTGACAGCTTGGCAAGACTCCAGGCGGCAACAAAATCCGACTGTCTTGGAGTGCTGAAACCACCAGGAATGCTTGTCTGCCAGTGAAGCCGTGGGTGGATCCCGGCGGGGGAATGTCCCACTGGCCCATTGTCGGCTGCCCCTGACAGCCACCACGCCATATAGATGGGTTTCCACCCTTCAATTTATTTACGACGGAACCTCTATTTTTCTTGCTCGTCGTGGGCAGTTCGTCCGACCGCTCGTTGCTAAGAAAAGTGTCTCATAAGACGTGATGGAGCCCGAAAACAACGCCAATCGCCCGACCGTGAGAACTGGGCCCCGTTGAGAACCACATTCCCCACGCGTTGGAGAATCTTCTGTCTTACCAAAATTGTGGCCAACTGAATCACATAACATTTGGGGAATCCGCTCGTTGGTTTCCTCACTCTGTCTTCAACACAAGCAAATGTGATCCTGACGAGAACAACCATCCTCTGGGTCTCACAGGGGAGAAGGCTGCAGCAACAAATAGCTGCTTGAGACCACCAGGGTACTAGATTCAAAACGTGCGAAGTTAGTTGGTTGTCTGCAGGGGCCGATACGAAGCAACACTTCATTGGGTTGGGTTCAAGGTCATGCTCTAAGCACAGGTGCAAGTTACAGGAGGCGCCATCGCGACCAATTCCACCCCAGCGGCTGTTCGCTTACAGTGGGATTTGTGTATGGATACAGCTGCGAGTCATGAGACATGCCTGCGCCGCGATCCACATGTGGGTGTTGGGATGACAACGACAAAAGTCATGATCCTGCCTAAGGACTTAAGAGGACGCGCTCTTCTCCGTTGGTGCTATCTGCACATTGCCCCCGGCACTGTTTTGACTGCTGTTGGCTTGGTTGAAGCCGGGAATGCTCATCTAAGACATGGAAGGTTACAATTGCCTCGCCGGATTCGATGCCAACGGATATTCGTGGGTGAATAAGCCATCTACATGATACCTGTCGCACTGTCGCAAGCAGCAGTACTATCATCAACGCTTGCATGGTTGTCATATGTGGGAGAGGCCCTGCCAAAAGATGTTTGGCCACTCCCGGGATATAGTTGACGCTTGAGCAGAACTGGGGTCTAATATAGGTCCCAAGGACCAATCGAGCTCAACATACCATATAGTAGTGACCTTGCAGCCTGGATAGACTAGTAGAATAATTCACCACACCATCCTGCTGCACTCAGCTTCCTAGTCGTTCAATTTTGAGACATCCAAACGCCTCTGAACGAATCCCGGAGAATGCTGCCAGTCTCCTCTGGCATGAATGCCTTGTATTGCAGGCATGACACAGGATGAGTCATGCCTGAGGAACCGGGTGTAAACGCCAAGCCGCCCAATGGGCCCGCGCGGATAATGCAGGCCAATCAATGTCGATATCACCAGCGAACTGTCGGTGTTTCCACCGAATCAGAAGGACTCCCACTTCTGGAGGGGAGAGACCTGACAAGGATGTATGACTGTTCAATAAGATGACTAACTACATATAAAATAAATCCTCCAACACATGCTCCTATCCCATCATGACAAACGCATTGCTTCCACCACCCAAAATCCGTTACGGTCCTACAACATGACAGCCGCGCGACCGCTTGGACCGCCAGTCGATCTGACCCCCGCCCAGCTGCCATCGCCAACCGTCCTCCGCGGGCGATACATCCAGCTCGAGAAGCTCCAACCCAAACATGCCACCGACCTCTGGGACCTAATCGGTGGAGATGACCCAACGCGAGCCTGGCTATGGGACTACATGTTGGACGGTCCCTTCTCTCAGCGCTCGGCTTTCGAGGAATCCATCACCTCCCGATCCGATTCCACCGACCCGTTCTACTTCGCCGTGATCGACGAGCGTGCCTCCAGCCCCAGCTGCGGCAAAGCCATCGGATTCCTCTCGCTCATGCGGATTACCCCGGCACATTGGACCGTGGAGATTGGAAGTGTCATGTTCTCCCCGGTGCTGCAACGCACCGCGGCGGCCACTGAGACGATCTATCTGCTAGCGCGGTATGCCTTTGAGGAGCTGCACTATCGCCGCGTGGAGTGGAAGTGCAACGCGCTGAATGCCACTTCCCAGAAGGCGGCCCGGCGGTTGGGGTTCGTCTATGAGGGTACCTTTCGGCAGCATCTGGTGATTAAGGGTCGAAGTCGGGATACCGCTTGGTTTGCGATGGTGCGTGATGACTGGGAGGAGGGGGCTAAGGAGGCGCTGGAGCTGTGGCTGGAGGAGGGGAACTTTGATGAAGATGGTCATCAGAGGAGGGGACTACAGGATGTGCGGGAGGCAGTTAAGAGATCGAGGTCTGTACAGTAATAGAACATGGTGCCAAGGTTGGCTAGAGCGATATCATTGATATGAAGACTTGTGTAGTGGTCAGTCTAACCTGCATCTAAGATAGAATCAATTCCCAACATGTTCAGTTTTAGGTATATATTAGTATATAACAATAAGCATTCAAGGTGGTAATTGAATTTGCCTTTCCCGTTCTATACTAGACGCACTGTACTCCACTCCGCAGAATCGAAAAGGTCACAGTCACGCTTGAAATCCTTGCTACTTTTATAACCTATTCCCACTCTTTTGAACTCATCCCCCCTCTCCGCTTTCTTCAAAACAAGCCACCAGACCCTGGAACTCCGACCCAGCGCGGTGAAACCATCCACATCTAGTACACGATCTATAATCGTTCCAACTTCCAGACAGTAGACATTACTTGCCACTACCCCGCCTAGGTCTTGTCGATCGACTTTACCCTGAGCCCAAGACTCGCGTTCTTCCTCGCCCATTCTGTCTGTCTTCTCCATGCGCTCGTCACACAAAACTTCATAGATCTCTGTACCCCACCCTCGTACAAGTGATGTCTGGCCTTGATGCACGCGGGTTGCTCGTCCCCATTCGCCAGTGTACTCGCCTTGGTGCTTGGTGAAGGGCTTATCCAAGATGACCATCTCGACGGGGACAAGCTTACCCCTCAAGTCAATAAACCCCGAGGAAACCGGGCCGAAGCTATTCACACTTGTGCATGTGCACTCGGCTTGCATGATATCCAAAGCGGGGAGAAAGTCGTAGTATGAGAAGCGAGTGAAGTAACTGATGCCTCCATCCATCGAGGCCCAGGACTATGTCGGGGCCCTCCAGGGCTCAGGTCGCACATGAAGTCCAAATCCGGTTACGTGCCAGAGGAGATCTGTGACCAATGTGTCTGACCACAGCCCTGCGAGATACTTCCTATCTCCGTCTGACATACGAGCTGCTAGTCCAGACAACGCACTTAGCTTGTCCGAGGGCTTGGTCATTTGGCGGAAGGAATAGTGGGAGACAATTTGGTGCCAGTCGGACTGGCTGATGCCGACATGATGGAATCTGCACTCGCCACATTGGCAATAGAAGGTGTCGCCAAGCCGTAAAACAATCTCCGTGCCAGTGTAATGGAGAACGCGACTGGGAAGAAGCGTTTCCTGTAGTGTCCAAGCGCGCCGTGAGAGTGGTGTTCGGCTTAGAAGAAAGCTAGGATCGTCACGCTGGCCGTTCGGCTTTTCTCGACAGATGTATGTGTCGCCGTCCCAATCAACAGTGACTTCTCGAAGTTGTTGAATTTGAGAAGTGCCCAGGAACCCTTCAGAGCAATCCTCGGCAGTATCTGCCGCAATCACTACATATGCGCTGGAGTAGATTTGGTCCATTTCTGAGCTTTGCTCATACCAGTCAACTCCTATTGCGTCGTCCTGGATAATGCATAGCGCATCAACCCAGAGATACTTTATTCCAAGACGCCAACAGACCTCAACTGCGTCTTGCACTGTCTATGGGGAAATATCAGTCTCTTAAATTTGAAAGGTCCGGTCGGAAATCTGAGCAAAACTAACCTTTGGCATATGCTCCTTGTCAATATAATTATAGTGCTTTTGTAAGGTGTCTTTGGTAGTTTTCAAATTGGGTTGGGTAGGACCCCAGCAATAGCTCAAAGCACAGTACGGGACTGTCTCTTCTGGCCTGTCCACGAGGACTGGGTTGAGGCGCGATCTCCTACATCTATCAAGCGTCTAGGCATGAAACTAGACAGTGTCAGGCCATTATTAGCTAGAGGTAAGCTGTTTAGAATCCACTGAAACGAGCTTTCGCTTGCTGTGTCAAACACTGAGGCAGCTTGGTGATCGTCTATTTCCTTTTTCTTGCTTTCTTTTAGATGCCATCATTATTTGCTAGTTCCAGTATTGGCGAATGGCGCTACTTACCAGGAAAGGCTTCGGCCCATAATGTGGACTCTATCCAGGAGGTTGTCTGAGTATCTCTGATAAGAAGGGAAAAGCCACCGGTATTTGGATAGATTCCTACCACCAGAGTGTTTTCATGTGTCTCGAATGATGGATAGTACGCTTGGAGACACTGATAAACCAAACTGCAATATTGGCAACGCTTTCCGCCCTTTGACTTTAGAAGAAAACGACTCATGGGCTGTTCTCTGGCCTTAACGAGGTCCAGTGGATCTGAGAGGACCTTGCGTCTGACAAGCCCGCAAATAGTGCAATCGACGGCCCATTCATGGACAGCTACCCAAAGCGTCCGAAACAGCTCTTCAGCCTCCAGACAGAACAACTCTCTCGAATGAGGGAAGTGGTGATGGAAGTGACGCGGTACATATTCCCATAAGAAATTGTAGTCCTTCCTAAGATATGTTGACGTATTTCCATCACCAAGGTCATACTGCACCTGGAGTAATCGCTCGATTATGCCCTTCCAGCGCGGGAAATCGGCTGGATCTTCGAGTACAAAGATGCATCCTGAATTAGAGCTGTCTTGGCGATAGGTGGGTTCCAACGTCTCCTTGGACTTTTCTTTTCGTCTATTTATCTTTGGGGAAGCCCCGGGAATATGTTTGAGCAGGGAATGGGCTTTCCGAGCCATAGCTGTTTCTGGAGGCCCATAAGTGAGACAAGTGGAGGAGTAGCTTAAGAGTGAATATATTACTGTATCGTTCTGGATTTAAACTGAACCGTGGGCGGATGCAGCAGAAGAATCGTGATAGAGTTATGTGTGGGGATGTGAGAGAGATAGTAAGCGTGGCAGTGCAAGGGATCGTCACTTGTCACAACGTGGCTGAGCTGCGATCTGGGATAGCATGTGACTTCAATACGATTGCAAACATTGCATCCTACTAAAATGCGGAGTCTTCCAGTCATTCTTTCCCATGGCGAGGACAGCTTCAATGCCTTTTATCTTTGGACTGATGTTGGTGGTATTTCGGGCAGCTCTCTGCGAAAGACACCAATGGGTGGAAATGGGGTTATTAGAAAAGACATAGTGTGTACTAGTTAATGGAATCTAGAATGCTCGGTGACGTCCTTGAGAGGATATTGTAGGATTAAGATAATATTGGGAAGGTAAAGAGGACTACCTAAAACCCTGGACAGACAACAGAAACTGGCAAACAGATCAGGTGATCGGTCGCTCTAAATCATAGGTAAAATAACTAGTCTTTATTTCGCATTGCACAATTCATATCTTCATAGTAGAACATGTACATTTATATACTTCCTTCAACCTTTGCCACCGCGCTCATCAAGTCTTGTACTCCCTTCTTCGCACCCTCCGCCGGCTCCTCATACGGTGTCCGGGGCTTCAGCTTCTCCTCTGCCCCCTCAATACCTGCCGCACGAGCCGAGAAGATTGCAGCTGCGTACTTGGTGGCAGCAATTCCACTCTTGCAGGGGCTCTCCGCCAGCGCTGCTTGGCGCTGCAGCTCAACTGCCTCCTGAATTTTACCAGCGACATAGAGATCATAGATCTTCGACGCCGTTTTTGGAAACACGTTGGCAAAAGCAGCAATGCACCCAGCAGAGCCCGCAGCCAGACCACCGATCAAGAAATCTGACTGACCACCATAGATCGCGAACTCCTCCTTGGAGAAGGTGGCCGCCAGCCTGGTAATCTTGCCCACCGATCCACATGTCAACTTGACACCCACTACATTCGAGACCCCATTGGCGCTCGACGCCGCTGACTCGCGCACGATGGCGGTGATGGTCTCCGAGTCCAGATCCACACCGTTACAGACACCCGGGAAATTGTACACCACGACGGGCAGGGGACTCTTGCGCGCGACATCAGCAAAGAAGCGCTTCACGACGGCCGGGGTCGTGGCTTTGCCAAAGTAAGCGGGGGGCAGGACGAGGATGTAGTTTGCGCCCGCGGCGGCGGCGTCTTCGGCCAATTTGAGCACTTGCTTGGTGGAGTGAGCACCGCAGCCGGCCATGAGAGGGTAGTCGGGGCCAACGGCGGCACGGGCCGTGGCGATGAGTTGGGCGCGTTCTTCGCGGGTGAGGAGGAAAGCTTCGGAGTTGGTACCGAGGATGACCAAACCGGCCAGGCCGGTCGTGGAGAGGTACTGGTAGTATTTCTTTTGGGCATCGAGGTCAAGGGTGTCGGTGCTGTGGTCAAAGAAGGTCACGGCGGGGCACCAGACGCCGGCTTTGGGGATGCGAGGTTGGGGGGTGACGGTGACGGAGGAGCCCATGGTGATGCTGAGACTCTATGGATTCTATGTGGTATGTCTTTAGGAAATAAGGGTATCAATTGAGTGAGTATTCTGTCAATGACGTGCTGGTGGGATGCTGATTATATACTTGGGAGGCTGCGGGGACGGAAAAGAATCCGATCGGAATGTCTTCCCGAACACTTATCAGCGGGCAATCAGTCCGAATGCTGTTTGACACTCAACGATATCGGAGTGGGTGCGGGGGTTACAACTGAGGGGTTGATGAGGCGGTTATTTGGATTTAAACATGGTTAGTATATGCGCCGGACTCCACTGCGTTGCGTTGTAGTGGCTGCAACGGTGGTGGCAATTACTATTACATACATATATATAGCCTGTGAGCAGTGGTACTTGCACCCACCACATTCACATTTTTCCAATACTAGTGCATCATGATCAATGCTGAACTTAAATACCAGATAGCATGATCTAACCACCATCTGCTAAGCACCGTATACTCGAAATAGAAAGCAGCAATGTAGAAATGGCCCCCAACTGCAAGGGTCCAACATCAGCCACGGCAACGCCTCAGCCTAGTCTTTAGCGCCGTCATCCTGCACCGCAGCTCTCCCCAAATGTCCTCATCTTACGAAGTCACCTCCAAGCACCCGATAGACACTCACATAGAACGATAATAACCGAAACCCATGGCTACTATCATGACACCCTAGATATTGTTCGTCTGTCGCCAGACACACCAAACGCCACCTCACCAATCCTGGCTCCCGCCAGGATAGTACGAGACATCAGCCGGCCATGGCTCATGGCTGGACAACTCCCAGCGCCCCGAGTTCCACTGCACTGCTGGCAGTAACCTCCGTATTTACCGTGACTTCTCTATCGGCCGTGTCGCTTCGATTCTACGCGCGAAGACTAGCGCGACTGGACCTCCTCGCAGATGACTGGCTAGCGCTTGCTGCACTGGTAAGTAAGCCTGGCACTGCCCAATAGCCAACTAGCTATGTTACAATCAAAGTATCTAACATTCTACACAGATATGCACCTTGGTATACAATAGTACTCTATTAGCAGGAACATCCCGCGACATCATCGCAAACTACACGCACCCCACAGCTCAAACTGAAGTGGCAGCAAGGAAATATCAACTCGCCCTTCAAACCATCGAGATCATCGCCCTCGGCCTGACCAAGCTGAGTTTCTTCACTTTATGGAAACGCGTCTTCAGTACCCATCCTGTTCATCGACTATGTACTTTCCTCATCGGCGCAGTAACGCTGTGGATGATTGCATTCATCCTCGCAACGATTCTCCAGTGCGGGGATCATGTTTCTCATATTTGGTCATCGATAGCGGATGTTAATAACAGTAACACCTGCGCAAGCGCAAACAGGGGTATTCTACTCACGGTGTATACAATCACCGATCTCATCACAAACATACTAATCACAATCATTCCTATTTTCGTTATTGCCGGGTTAAATATGCGGGTAGGGAGGAAGATAGGGATGATATGTCTTTACGTTGTGGGGGTTTAGTATGTCCCGTCCCTCCCTGCTCACACTATACTCCTTTTCCGGGTGGTGTACTGATACAAGTATGGATAGTGTAACCGCCATTTCCGTCGCAAGGACATATTTCACTATTGTCGTGTCATACAACAGCAATAAGGAAGAGAGCAGGTTATCTTTCATGCATGAATTCACTTTACTAGCTCTGTGGGCTGTGGTCGAGGTGAATGTGGGGATCCTGGCTATGTGTGTTACGGTTGTAACGCGGGGTGTGAGAGAGGTCTGCGCTGGTGAGTATATTATTCTAGTCGTGGAAGAGTCTAATATGCTGATTATGACTAGATAAACGGAAGAAGAAGTTCCATATGTTATCTGGGGTGGCGTTGAAGGGGGATCATCATGGCGGTGTGGGTAATGAAGGAGGCTCAAGGATTTCAAATGAGAGTGATGGTATAGAATGAGGAGGTCAGTTGGACCTGTGGGTGGTGTATACGTGTATACTACGATAGTTGATACTATATACCCTTTCTGATTTACCAGGCAATAGATGGTTGCCCATTTTGACCTTTTTTTTTTTTCTACATCTCTTATATTTAATAGCTCTTGCAGGCAAATGTCGCTCCATAACCCGAAATGCTGCGCAAGCCATGCGTTGTCACCAGCCAAACTATAATGATGCGCCCGATATCTCATAGTTCGTTCGTAAGTGTAGGTGAATACCCCAATCAGTGCTAGACTTGTCAGCAAGGTCCTCATCAAGATCCTTTTAATGACAGAACATACCGTGATGTCCTCCCACTTCTCCCACCCGCGTCCGCGCACAGCAGCCAAGTCTTCTGCTGTGACATTCTTCCCGGTTGTGAAGTAGCCAGCATTGATCTTCGCATCGATTTCAACTCGCGAGTCCGTCGGGATCATCTCGTCTGGGATCGGGATACGCTCCAGGATCTTTATCCCTGACTCGACGATGGCGTCGTGCTTCATGTTGGACATGGACAGCATGCGGTCGATCTTCTTGATACCGAGCCAATGCAGGATGTCGGGCATCAGCGCTTGGAAGCGCATCTAGAATCAAAGTTAGTATGATGTTCTATTTTGAGGTTTGGTAAACAGCTTACATCTCTAACACCGGCAATGTTCTCTGTCCGCGTAAAGTACTTGTCGGCAGTGTCGCCGCCGCGCTTGCGGGCATTGTACACCAAGTACTTGATCACCTCACCCAAGGCCCGACCTTCCTTTCGGAAGTAGATGACCACTCCACTCCCTCCACTCTGGGCTTCGCGAATCGCCTCCCGAATACCAAAGGCAAGGTACGGTCGGCATGTGCAGATATCCGATTGGAAAACATCACTGCCGTTGCATTCGTCGTGAATACGCAATGCTAGTTTTACATTCTCGTCGGACACCCGCTCCGGCGGGCCAAAGATATACACCGTCAGACCTCCAATGGGAGGAAGGAAGATCTTCAGATCGGGCCGGGTGATCAGCTCGGGATAACTTCCGCCCGTATGCTCGAATAGTGTCCGTCGCAGCGTCCCCTCATCAACTCCGAACCGCTCTGCAACACCAGGTAGATACCAGACCGGTTCGACGGCAACTTTAGTAACGCGCACTTCACCGGAGGAGTCAACCACAATGGAACCATCCACATCGAGTTTGCCCTCCTTCACCGCGTCGGCGATCTCCGCAAAGTTCATGTTCGCGCGGGTCACCGCCATTGTGGGGCGGATATCCCAGCCCTTGCTTAGCTCGTCCCGGAACTGGTTAACAATGTCATGTCCCCACGGGTCCATGGACACAATCTTGGTCTTATCGGCCCAGGCAGGCTGCCATGGGAAGTTGAATGTAGGTTGACTGTTGCTGAGGTCAGGACGGAAGTTCGGTTCCAAATCACCGGCGGCAATGGCGAGGGCGTTGTAGATGCTGTAACTGCCACCATGAGCGCCCATAGCATTCCGCCGCTTGAGTAATGCGGAGCTACGGGAGACAACGACGGGGCCGCGGGATTTAGCATCTGGGGCGCCCCATTCGAGCGGGATGGGGTCGATGCCACTTTGGCCGGGGTAGGTGGTCAACTAGCTCATAAGGTAAGGATTCTTCTTGCCCACATCAGTCGGACACTGCTCCACAAACTTACCACAATATGCGTACTGTAACGAGAGTTGGAGTGAGTTGGCGAGGTTGGGGTAGTCGGTGACTGGGCTGTCGCCTCGTCGGACGTGGGCTTGATGGAGGTATCAGTCTCCAACATGGTGCTGGATGACGATGCGGGGAAGGAATAGGCGGGCTGTGAAGAAACAGGGGAGATGGGATGAAGAGGATGAAGAAGGGAAGAGAGAAGAGCGAGATGAAATGAGGAGAGGAGGGGACAAGAAAACAGGGCGACGATGGGTGTCGCTGCATGCCAGCTGCATGTGACTTGGGCCCGAATCTCAATCTTACGGCCTCATCTCTCCCTCATTCTCCGCACTGCCTCCTTATCGTTCACGCCCCCCTGGCCTGGCCTTATCTATCCCCGGTTTGGGTCAGGCGTAGACTGAACCATGGTTGTCTGGTCTATCATACCGGTTGTCTTGCTATTTAAAACGAGATCATAATGGAACAACAGCCAGATCGGCGGTTATTTTGTTTTGCAATTCGACTCGCGGTGAAGCTGCGGATGCACGATGACGCCGAGGGCGATGCGGATGATCGACCCCTCATTCCGGTCCGGTTGGAGTTCCGCGGGGAAGCGCGGCGAAAATGCTACAAGGGAGCTGAGGTACTTAGCTACTTCGGCCATCATCTCCAATGAATGAGCGACCGATTCCATGGCTACGGGTTCTCCTTCCATGCTTAGCCGATTTGTGGCATCGTTGGGACACCGAATCACGAGATTCCCCCGGGTCACATGGCCCTCCCCCTGTCTGGCTGCCGGTAAGGAAACTATGTCATGGTTGGCTGGAAATGATGACCCGAAACCACCAAAAACACCCATAGGTTGAGCAAGCAACTGGTATCTATTAATCTGACTTTCATTTGAACACAAAGAAATCCTCATAACTCTTCATAAGCAATCCACATTGCACCATAGTCATATCTTATTCCAATCTCTTCCAATCAACCCGGTTGAGCAGCCGCCATCGGACAGCGGCGTCGCGTCGAGGGTTTGTCGGACACGCTCTACCGGAAGCCGAGCTGAGCACGTGAGCTCTTGATCGTCTTCTTGATAATGTCTTCCACCTCGTCCCAGTCCTTGGTGTCAATCCGCTGGATGTTAGTGTTGAAGTATCGCTGAATCTGGTTGAGCATCTCCCACTCTTCCCGGTTGGACACGAAAGAGATGGATACACCCACGCGGCCGAAACGTCCTGTACGGCCAATACGGTGCAGGTAGGTCTGGAAGTCGGCCTGTCGTTGACGGGCGCCGGGTTGGTGCAGCTCAGGGATATCCTATCCACAAAAGATGCATCATTAGCATGGAAACTCATGATCATCATGTAAAGGACACGGCTTACGTAGTTGATAACCATGGACACAGTGGAGACATCGATACCACGGGCAAGCACGTTGGTCGTAATCAAGACCTTCGCGTGTCCGGCACGGAATTGGTCAATGACTGCGTCACGCTGCGATCCTTCAATGCCACCGGTCAGGGAGGCCACGGTGTGACCCTCGGCAACCATGCGCTTTTCGATCTCCTGGGCGGAGGCACGGGTCTAATCCTGCGTTAGAGTAACTGCAATGCCGTAGAGGATGTGTACAAACCTTGACGAAAATGATGGACGAGCCGACGGTGAGCAGACCGTAGAGGTTGACAAGAGTCTGGTACTTGTCCTCGTCATTCGAGCAGTCCAGGTACAGCTGCTTAATACCCTCGACCGTCAACTCCTCATGCTGGAGGGTGATCTCGTTGGCCTGGGGGGCGAACTTGGACGCATATTCGTGCACGTGAGCAGGGAAGGTAGCCGAAAAGAGCACGACCTGAATATCTCTGGGCAAGAGACTGAATAGACGTTAGCATGCGTGGCGCGAAAAGTGAAAAAGAGCAACTTACGCCTTCACACGGATACATTGGTCACCCAGACCCTGCTGGTCGAGCATGTTGTCGGCCTCATCCAGAACAAGCACGCGGAGCTTGTTCGCAACCATGATGCGCCTCTTAATCATGTCCATCACAGTACCAGGGGTACCCACAACGACGGAGCACTCCATCTTGGCGGGACGAGCGCCAGTATCTGCCGGCACGGCGGTACCAATAACGAGCCCATCAAGGAACTGGCCCATCACTTGGATGACACCAACAATCTGACGAGCCAGCTCTCGTGTGGGGGCCAAAATCAACGCCTGGGGGGTCTTTTGCAACTGCTCCGACGAGAGGTCCAAGCGACTGAGGATGTTCAGGACGAAGGCCGCAGTCTTTCCAGTACCGGACTGGGACTGACCGACCAGATTCTTCGCGGGGTTGCCGAGTAGCAGCGGGAGGGCCCTCTCTTGGATCTTAGAGGGTTTCCGGAAGTTCATTGCCGACAATCCCTGGAGGATGCGAGGGTCCCTGATTTCACGACGGGTTAGCACCGTATTTTAACAGTATAACAACCGAGATTGATGAATGCACGCACAGGCCGAGATCTTCAAAGTTCTTCACGGAGAAAAGGGGGTTATTTGGATCGGCCTGGAGATCGCTGAGCTTGACTTCAACGGTGTAGTCAGGCTCATGAAGGTCGGAGCCACCCTGTTGGGCGGCGGCGCCATCGGTCTGAGGAATATCTTCGGTCTGTTCGGGAGCTTCTGCAAGAAATGATCGCATAAGTCAGGGTCCAACAGGGTCTGGTAAAAGAGTGACATGGAAGTGAAACGAGCGGTGGCATAGAAGTAGACTAGTATCGTACCGGCAGGGGCAGTCTCCTCGGGCTTGGTGATGCGGTCCGCAAGAGAACCGGCAGCGGGTTCTTCAGACGCCATCCTGATGATGTATAGAAGAACTGTGAAGGACGTATAGGTAAGGGGTTAGGGAAGGATGTTTCGGATGCAAGTTGTTGTTCGTGTTTCCCAGACGGAGGGGAGATGGCGGGGTAATCAACAGCGCGCTGAAACAGGAATCAACCGCTCAACACAGCAAATGAAGCGCACACGAGAAAAGAATGACACGTTCACCACGGTGCCCAGTTATATGATGGAAGAGGAAGGGCGATTGATCGTTCAACACCCAGGCAAAGCAGCAATGGCTAAGGGAAGCTCCATCACCATGACGGTCGAAAAACCAACGCGGCTGACCGCCTTGAATCGACACTAGGCCTGTTTGGGCCAGCAGCCGAGTCACTACAGTCTAACTATATCGGGAGGCGGTAAGAGTCGAGGGATACCACTTACGATACCATACGGTTGCCAGCCCAAATGGGGATGACGTAGGGAGCCTCCGGCCAGACAATGGAGGCTCAACGTGGCCTGACAGGCAACCAGAGGCTGTCCTGTATGGTCATCTTCCCCGCTTCCTCATCGCTCTCCAGCCATTCCAGCCGCGCCTGGCAACGATTCCTGGTTCCCCGATCCCCTACCCACCATCCGGTTGTACGGACTACGGAGCACACACGGTCGCCAACGGCTGTTCCGCACGTGGAAGGTAAGTTAGGCTGCTCCATTCGCTCTCCTGGTTGGACTCGCGACTCGCTAGGCCGACGCATTTTTGAGTCTTCCATGTCGCATCTCCGCCTGTCTCCCCTGCGGCGTGACCTCCGACAAGCTGACCATCTATCAGAATGGCTACCCCGGATGTCGCCCCTCACTTTGGGGCGGAGTTGAAGGTATGACATAAAACTGTCGCATCAACCCCAGGTTTCAGCTAATCGAGGACCTTGGCAGGATTCGTTTAAACCGGTCAACAATTGGGTAGGCACTTACTTCCCTCTTCCCGCCTCCTTATCCCTTCCAGCTGGATACCCCGGATGATCGCCGAAATCTTTTTATCGAGAACTAAGAGAATGCTTGCTAGGTGTCGAATGGTATCGGATGGCTGGATGAGATACAACAGTTTTACCGCGAGCGCAGCGCAATCGAAAAGGAGTATGCGGCAAAGTTAACGGCACTATGCAAGAAGTACTACGACCGCAAAGCCAAGAAAATCAGCAGTTTGAGTGTCGGAGACACTCCTAGCATGACCCCGGGCTCCCTCGAAAGTGCCTCACTTACCACGTGGTCGACGCAATTGAGCGCCGTGGAATCGCATGCCACTGAACGGGATCACTTCGGTAACGACCTGCTTGTACATGTCGCAGAGCCGCTCAAACAGGCTGCGAACCAGTACGAAGAGCTCAGGAAGTGTCATGTTGATTTCCATGCCAAGCTCGAGAAGGAGAGGGACTCCTCGTACAGTGACCTGAAGAAGGCGAAGGGTAAATATGATGGCGCGTGCCAGGAAGTGGAGGCAAGGCGGAAGAAGATGGAATCTTCGTTCGACCACAGTAAGCCTAAGGCCCAGGCAGCGTACCAACAGCAGATACTGGAGATGAACAACGTTAAGGTCGGTTACTACGATGATGCCAAAGACTATTGCTGACGGCAATGCAGAACACATATCTCATCAGCATTAATGTGACAAACAAGATGAAAGAGAGATTCTACCACGAATATGTGCCGGAGCTGCTTGATGTAGGTGTGCTTTGACTGGTTGGATCCAATCTGCTAATATCCCGGGTAGGGCCTGCAAGACCTTAACGAAACGCGTGTAACGAAGCTGAATTCGCTCTGGACATTGGCCGCACAACTCGAGAAGAATTACCTGTCGAAGAGTATGGACCACATGGCAAACCTCATCAATGAGATTCCGCGCAACGTTCCACACCTGGACTCGCTCATGTTCCTGCGCCACAATGTCACACAATCACAGGAGCCGGCCAACATGACCTTCGAGCCGAGCCCAATCTGGCACGACGACGACGCTCTCATCACCGACGAAGCGGCCAAGGTCTTTTTGCGCAACCTGCTCAGCAAGAGCAAGACACAAGTGCGAGAGCTGAGAGTCGAGGCGGATACGAAGCGACGCGAGGTGGAAACCGCCAGACGGGTCCGGGAGAGCATCCGACAGGGCACGGACAAGCGCAACGAGGTGGAAGTTGTCCGATCTATATTCTTCCAGCAGGAGTCCCTGCATGAAGTTGACCGCAGGCGCCTGACTGCCGAGGTGGAGACCTCTACCATCATGTCGGCGGTGGGCGATCTTTCGCTCGGAGCGCGCAACCATAATTTCAAGTCGCAGACGTTCAAGATCCCGACCAACTGCGATCTGTGCGGAGAAAGGATATGGGGATTATCCGCCAAGGGCTTCGACTGCCGGGACTGCGGATACACCTGTCATAGTAAATGTGAAATGAAGGTACCGGCTGAGTGCCCGGGTGAGCAGACCAAGGAAGAAAAGAAGAAGCTGAAAGTGGAGCGACAAGAACAAGCCAACGCCGCCCCAGCACCACTTGATCTAGAACCAACCACGAGCTCATCCACTGCGCCATCACTCACCCGCAAGGACACAATGAACTCGCTGAGCTCCGGCTACGCCGTCAGCGCCAACCGATCTATGTCCAATGCCGCACAATCTCCCACCACGACCGCAGCGGAGCTTCCCACACCCGTCGCAGAGACCAAGCCCGCCCCAGCACGGAAGAACCGCATTCTAGCACCGCCACCGGCACAGTACATCAGTGGTCCACCCGCTAATGACTCGGCGCCGGCGCTAAGCTCCAAGACCAACGAGCAGCATGGCAAGATGCTGTATGCATACCAAGCGGGCGGAGCTGACGAGGTGACTGTTCAAGAAGGGGACGATATCGTCATCCTGGAGCCAGATGGTACGCCATTTCCCACCTCTTACTTACCCTGACGGCACTAACCAAGACAATATAGATGGTTCCGGTTGGATGCGCGTACGGTCCGGCGGCGAAGAAGGGCTCGTCCCTGCTTCCTATGTGGAAGCTGGCCCCGCACCTTCACCCGTGCCGTCCGCCAGCCCCGGCTTCACGGCTGACCGGCCAGGCTCAACGTACTCGAATTCGTCGGCGTCGCTGACGGGCGGCGGCGGCGCCGGGGGCAACAAACGGGTCGGACCAGCTGTAGCACCGCGCCGGGGCGCCAAGAAGCTCCAGTATGTGGAAGCGCTGTATGACTACGACGCGCGCAGCGACATGGAATGGAGTATGGTGGAAGGCGACCGGTTCGTGCTGGTGAACCGGGATGGCGGAGATGGGTGGGCCGATGTTGAGCGGGGCGGGGTGACGAAGAGCGTACCGGCGAACTACATCCAGGAGGTGTGATGATATTCCCACGACCTGCAGGGGGGTTGAGGCAGGCTGCACCTTTCACATACGTTGTTCTGATTTGATTGTTATTGTTACCTTGCATCGGGAAGCCTGGGAGCTGGTTTGTTTGTAGTTTTTGCTTGTTTTGGTTTTGGCCGTTGTTGTTGCTTTTGGCTACTGTCTATATCCTCCGGCATATTCCTAAGTGGTAGTAGGTAGATGTGAGGCGAGAAGTGCACAGTGCACAGTGCAGCAGAGCTAGTAGGGAGTTGTAAGTGGATGGATGAAGATATCTGTACATAGGGTTGTTGAAGTGCGCGTTGTGAATAAGGCATGACAGTGTTATCTACTCCTAGTCTTTCTTTCGATTTGTGAGGTATGTTGTGCTGGTATGCTTGCAATGTTCTATATGACCTCACATGAGCAGACACCACATATTGTGGGACCAAAGCAACGGGCAAACAAAAAAGACGATTGCATTGATCCAAAGGTCAGGTTCGCTGTTAGTCACAGTACAACGCACTGGACAGATTGAGAGGCTTTGAAACTGAGAAGACAAAAAGAAAGCATGTAAGAAGGAAGAGGGAACAAGGCTCTATTTCTGATAGAATAAAAAAAAAGGGTTTGATAAAAAAAAACCAGGAAACACCTAAAAAGGGATTCCGAGATTCCGATCGGAAAGAGGATCTACAACCAAAAGCTACTTTCCAGTGCTAGACACAACTAAATGATGTCCCTCCAGCCAGCCGCGGGTGAAAAAGAAAAATTTTCATGATTTAGCCGGGGATGGATGGGTGGATGGATGGATGGATGACCGAGTGACTGACAGACCAGACGTGCAGGAAAGCAAAAGCTCGGACGGCGAGAGAAAGAGGGAAAGACAGCTTGCAGCTGCACTGCAGGCAGCTGGAAGGATCCTGCAGCCAAAAAACCGCCAAACCGTGATCCGCGCAGCCAATCGCGAGAGAAGAATAATCACGCAGTTGGCTCGTGCGAGAGTTAGCGAGTTGCGACTAATCTTGATGGAAGTAAGCTCAGGTTGTTGCTCAGCCACCTCCAGATTAGTTAACCTCCTCCTACTAACTAGTTGTGGGTGGCTGGTGTGTGTGTGTGTGTGTGTGGTTTCGGAGGATAAGAGAGTTGTAGCTTGTGTCATATGCTGTGATCCCGAGGTAAATAGCAGTAAAGTAGTAAACTAGTAGGTACTAGTAGTAGTAGTCTGAAGGTACTGTAAAAGTAGGGTTGTCTTCCTTCCGGGGTTATTGTTGTCCTGCAGGTTATGAGGCAACTGACTAGGGTTTCTTCCTGTTCAGTCCAAGTCCCTGAACTTTCAGGCAGCAGCAATTTTGGCGATAACCAAAGACAAGAAAAAAAATAATAAATGAGTCTAGCCGAGCATGAAATGGAAAAAAGGAAAGGCAGAAAATTGAGACGGAGCCAGAAGGTGGCACTGGCGAGCAAAAAAGTGGTAATTTTTGTATGCGGGAATTTGCTGGACCATCCATTAGGGAGCAGAAGACTAGCACCGATGGGGCAGCTCGTCGGGAAGACTTGATGGGAAAATGCCGCATTCTTTTCCTGGTCTTTTTTTCCATCATTACTTACTCCTATACTACTATACTACTAACTAACTGACTGTGTAGTATAGTAGGATTCTGCTGATATCATACGGTGGAGGCCCGTCGGAGCGAAAAGTACTGCTCCCTCCCTCCCTCCTACTACTATGACTACTACTACTTACTACTACCTACTAACTACTTGGTACTTACTACTTACTACTACTACCATTACCACTCTATTCTAGATTTTCTTCCTCTCTCTCTCTCTCTCTTTCTCTTCCCATCCCCATCTCCACTTTGATCCCTCTCCTGATTCTCTTGCTAATCGAAACCCGGGGATCCTCATCCTTTTTGCCCTCCCGAATCTTCTAAAATCCCTCATGGCTATACCTCTTTCTACCTACCACGACCACCACTAACTAATCTCCCAACCGAGATGAAGTGACATCCCCATCCATGCAGTCGATCCGTGGCTGTGCCATCTCTCCCCCATCTTGTGTCTAGCAGCTAGCCTAGCTACTCCCTCCCTACGTAGCTGTTTACCCTCTTTTCCATCGCACCGTGATTATTTCCATTCCCAATTAATTTTTTCTTCCTTCCCTTCCCTTCCCTATCATCACCTCCACCCACTTCTACGTATAAATCCTCCCTTCCCTCCCATCTAGTTACCACCACCATCATGCCCATCTGCTCCTCTTCCTCACTCCCTCCCTCCCTCTCTCTCCCCTCACCATTCAATCGTTAATCCCCAGGAATGCTTATCGACGGCGAAAAGTGGGCGTGTGAAGCTTGTGTCCGCGGCCACCGTGTGACCACCTGCAAACACAATGGTATTCTCCTCTCTCCACTCTTCTCCTCCAAATTGTGCTGCTCTCAAAACTATACTAAGCGTGATACACAAATAAAGACCGACCCCTAATTCGCATCAACCGCAAAGGTCGTCCCTTTGCCACCTGCTCCATCTGCAACTGCACCCCCTGCGAAAGCCCCGAAGAGCACGCCAAGCTCAAACGTGAGACCGATCATCATCATCCTTCTTCATCCTCAAAAGTACACGTTCACCATACTTCTAAACACCTCATTTCACCCATCGTGAATGGCTTTTGGTGCAGTTCAGGCTGATATAGTGGCTTCTAGCGAGCTGCTGGCCGATCCCCGCGACTCTCCGCCTCTCCGTCCACCTTTCTCCCCATTGCCCCGAGGCCGTCCGTTTCCCCTAGTACCAGCGCGACGAGTCCCAATTCATCACTTCCGGCTGCTGCTGCTAGCGCATACGCTGCAGTGTCAGCCGCGGCGACTCTCCCAGGAAGTACGACAGCAACCGCAGCGGGATATCTCTCCCCACCACCCATCGCATCTCTCCCACCGTCATTCTGCTCCATGGCCGCCACCACTGACAGCATGTCCATGTCCATGGTGAATCCCCTGCTCGTGGATGCGCATCGCATGTACAGCGACCTGGCAGTATCCTTTGCGGACAGTAATGCCATCTACGCGCTGGAGGACATGGGATTGGATGACGTCAGTGCAACCATGCTCGCTGCCGATCCCGTCTTCCAGGGGAACGACTGGGATTGGTTACATGATGATCACCACGATGGTGGTGTGCTCTAACATTTGTGGATCCTCTTGGGTCTGCAGATTATTCACTACAAAGTAATTACTCTGTGGATTCGAGAGGGTCGTCTGGGTAGGGCGGTGGGAGGCCTGGGGTCCGAAAATGATGGGGTCGTATATGATGTTATGAGAAACGAATTGTACCGAGAAAATGGTATGGACCAGTCGGGATCAACAGGACCTATCTACTTGCTCACTTTACTTGACCGGTTCAATTAGAGGAAGATTGCATTGCATTGCATTGCATGTATGTGCATGTATATAGCGTGGGCAGGCCGAATTGATTTACTGCATAGGATTCATCAATCCCGAGGTATTACTGACTCTGTGATCTATTGGGACTACCATCACAAATTGCTTTCTCTGAACGTAAATTAGACCAGGTTATTGTCAGCTAGCACGTGAAAATGAACAAAGGGGAAACATCGTTAAATATGAGTGGGGCTGTCACAACCGAGAGGTCCACTGATTAAGCTAACCATCTCATTACATTTCATTCCTGTTTTTGGAGAGGAAGCAAAAATAAAAATAAAAGTAAAAAGAAGGTTAATCAAAAACAATCAGTGGTCTCAAAATCCTTATAAATAAGAATAATACCCATTTCATACCTTATTATATACTGAATAGTAGGACTTCTCCAATGAGTAGTCTAACAATTGTGGCCTACTTCTAGTCCGTCCGGGCGGTACGGAGGTGTCTTAGCCCGTCAGTAGTAGCAAATCATCCTTATCTAAATCCCACAGCTGCAGCATATCATTTCTACTACTTCTAACAAGGGCTCAACAGAAACTAGTAACAAATCAGACAGCAGTAATAGCTAAGCACAACAAGCGCGAGAAGAGTAGTATAATATGTCATAGATCGAGAATATCAGAACCACCTAGTTTGTTATTGCCATACATACATACTAGGGGTGGCTGTGCCAGCATATAGTATAATTGCGATGATTGCGATGGCAGTCACAACTTGGAAGTTAGATTGCCTACATTAAACTACTAGAACTAACAAGTTCGATATACGTTGCACGCATGCCTTCAGACCTACAGGTCAGACAACCCACTTCTCAACCATTGAAAGTACAACAGGACTTGAAAGAATAAGAAAATAAATTCTATTTATAAGAATAGGTAGATACACAACAGAGAATGGAACAGGCCTAGACTTCATTCCAAGTTTGCGCGCGCCCTTTCCCCACTGACGAGTTCATCAACCATCTAAGCATAGGTGGGCCAGACAGTCACGGTCGAAGTGCTGGTAGCCACCACCATATCAGTGGTAGTGGTCCAGGCAGTCGAGGTCACCCACACGGTGGTGGTAGAGGCACCCGAGTCGGCAGCAGCAGTGGAAGCCACGGCTACCTTGGCGGTCACGGACTCGATCGCGCCGCTGCTGCTGTCATCCTCGTCCTCATCATCCTCGTCGTCGCAGTCGTACTCGTCGTCGTCATCGTCGTCATCGTCGTCACCCTCGTTGTCGTCAGCGCCGGTGCTGCTCTCCGACTCGCTGGAGGAACCAGCGGAGGAAGAAGAAGAGGAAGAGCCGGTGGTGGACGAGATGGTGCCGGAGGTGGGGACGGCCGTGGCGGTGACAGCGCCAGTGGTGGTGACGGCTTCGGTCTCAGTCTCGGTGGCGGCAGCGGCCTCGGAAGTGGTCGAGACGTAGGCGGCCTGGGTGGAAGCAGCAACGGAGACGGAAGCAGAGGCGGAGGCAGAGGTGGCGCTGGTGCCCTGGGCAATGATGCGGGCGACGGCAGCCTCGGCGGCGATCTGGATGATGGCCTGGGAGTTACCGGTGGGAAGGTCAGGGTGGATACTGCCATCGACGATGTACTATAGAAGATAATATGTTAGAAGAGATGGTCTCTGAGATAATAAAAAGGGGATGGAGGACGTACCAAGTTCTCAGTGCCGTAAACCTTGGTGTTGAGGTCAACAACGGAGGTGCCGTTGGCCTCACGGCCATCATCAACACCCATCTTGGCGGTACCGACGTAGTGGTCACCGGCGGTCAGCTGGTTCAGGATGCTCGCCGCGGTCGCGGTACCCTCGATGGAGAAGCCAGCGGTCGAGTTCTTCATGTCGGCGATCAGGCCGTTGAGGAAGCGGGTCAGGGCTTCCTTGTCGGCGGCAGTGTTCAGGTAGGGAGAGGTCTCGATGGTGGTGGAGCCGGTCGAGTCAATACCGAGGACACCGGTGGAGGTGGCACCGTGGGTGAGGTACAGCTTCATGGTGATGACACCATCCTTAGTGGTACTGCAGGAGGCCTGGTAGAAGCGGGTGACGCCGTCAGTACCGACGTTGGAGGTCCAGAACTGCAGACGGTGGCCACCCTGGGTCATGACACCGGAGCCCTCGGAGTAGAGCTTGCGGATGGGGGCAGTGGCGCCGGAGACGGCACTCTCAGTGTCGAAGTGCGTGAAGTTGCTGTTGGTGTTGACGGTGACAGTGAACATGGGGTGGTCACGGAGGTTGTCGCCGACGGGCAGGTCGATCCACTCAGCGGAGGGAGGCAGGGTGATACCAGTGCTGCCGCTCTGGACGGTCTTGATCTGCTCAGAGGGACCAATACCGGAGTTGAACAGGATGCGGGGAGTGGACATGGAACCAGCAGCCAGAACAACCTTACCACCGGCACGGACGTTGATGATTTCGATGCCGCCAGAGGAGTTCTCGACCTCAACACCGGTGATGCGACCACCACGACGGACGACGCGGCGGACCTTGGTGTTCAGGCTCATGTGGAAGTTGTCGGCGTCCTGGACCAGGGGCAGGTAAGAACGGACAGGACCAGCACGGATACCGTTGCCGACATCCCAGGAGGGGTAGCTGTAGACCATGTGCTTCTCGTTGGGCTGCTCCTGGGAGTCGACGGACTTCCAGCCGAGACCCTTCAGGAAGGAGGAGAGAACGGTGTACATGCCCTGGTCGTAACGCTTGCCATCAGCCGAAGGGAGGGTGCTACCAGGGTTGCGGGCGTAGAAGCGCTCGGCAGCAGCCTTGACGTCCTTCCACTTCCAGCCGGTGGGCCACTTGTCGTCGAAATCGGCCTCCTGGGGGTAGATGAAAGACATGGCGTTGACGATGGTACCACCGCCCAAAACACAGCCAGCCATGCCAGCAGTGTCATCGCAGAGGTACTGGCTAATGTAGTCGGAGCCCTGAATGTAGGTGCCCAGAGCCGGCAGGTCGTACGCGGTGAGGGAGGAGTTCCACGACAAGGAGTCGGTAGCACCCAGCTCGACGGTCGGGGCCACACCACGCTCGATAAGCAAGACGCTCTTCTTAGTCTCGGCCAGGCGCTCAGCAGCAACCAGACCAGCAGCACCACCACCGACAACAATGTAATCGTAGGTCGTGTTCGAAACTGTGGCGGCAACGCTGGCAGAGGGAGAGGCGGAGGCAGAGGCAGAGGCGCTGGAGGAAGCGGAAGCCGAAGTAGCAGTGGACTGGGTCGCGACAGCCTTGGAGGCCCAGGTGGAGTACTTGGACGACCTGGCTTCGGCCAGCTGCACCTCGAAACCACCATAGCCGGCAGCGTGGTAGGGCATCTTGGACGAGGCGGAGGAGGGAGTCGTGGGGTTCGAGGCACTGAGAGCCCAGCCGAAGTAGTAGCTAGTCGAGTTGGCGTCGAAGGTGGTGGGCTGACCGATGATGCAGCCCTTGCACAGGAAGGTGTAGGTCAGGTAGGTGCTGTTGACGGAGGTGCCGTCGGGGATCTCCTCAATGGAAGCATCACCGCTGTAGACGGACGGCGAGACGTAGGACGTGGCCTCACGCAGAGTTCCAACGGCCGAATCACCATCGGGCCAGGCGGCAATCAGGAGAACGTTGGTCATGGACCCCGACATACTGACACCACCCCAACCCTTGGAGCTGGACAGAGGGACGGCCATCTGACCGATGAAGTCGGTGCCGGTGGTCTCCTCGGGCAGGGCGATACCGAAACAGAAGCCGGTGTCATCGGTATCACACCATCTCTGGAACTCGATGCCAGAGGCCGAATCGGTGTAGGCGGAGGTGTTGTAGGCGTTGGCCGAGACGCCCAAGGCGTAACTCAAGGCGGCCACGCCACTGAGGAGAACGGAACGCATCTTTTCCTGGATTTACCCGAAATGCAGAAAAACGCAAAATTGAAAAGATAGGCCACGAAGGAAGAAGATAAGATTCGAAAAAGGAGTGTCAAAGAATTGGGTATGTCAAGCTGGCCCAGCAGCAACCCAAGTTAGAAAGAATGGCGGCAAAAAAGAAGTTGCCAAAAAAAGAATGAAAACTCTTGAACAAGAGTGAAGTGAAGATGGGGAACAGAACAGAGAAAAGAAATCCATAATGGCAGCGGGCGAGGGCCATTGATATATAGGAATCAAGGAAAGGGTGCGTGGGGATGGTCCGACAGCCATGACATGGAGAGCGGAGCCATTCAACGGTGGTGATATGATAATCATATTGAAGGGGGAGGGCGGAGGGCAAGGCTAATGCATTGAAGAAATTGAGTGTGTGGACACTGGCTGGGCAGACGCCCACTCTTCAGACGCCCAAAGGAGACATGGATGAGGGCATTCTTGGCCATCGGCCTCCATTCTGACGGGGGGATGGCGGCTGTCAGTGGCTCGAAGCAAGATAAGCAATTTCCGGCGGGACTGCTAGAGCGCTTCTAGCTGTGAGGTTTATCTTCCTCAGTGGGACGTGCCAAGCCTCACTAAACGGCACGAGTTTCACACAACGGCCGCCGTGGTTTGAGCATGATGGCGCCCAGGAGCTCGTTCCTAGCCAAGCCCATCTAAACAAAACACTCCTCCTCCGTGAAGTTCGCGCGCTGGTGGATTGCTCACTAAACCCGTACTCCTCATTGGCTTCACCCTCCCATAGTCGGGGGGACTATTGGCCTCGACACATCCACCGTCTCTCTCCGTGAACGGGGTCCCACCGGAATTGACCGAGTGCCACCAGGATTGTCTCGGTCTCTCTTCTCTCTATCGTCGGGGAGAGACTGGAAGGGCTGCCAAGGTGCAGGACAATGTCCGGGAACCCACCCGTCGAGGAGGGAGACTGGCTATGGATCTATTTCGAGATGAGCCAAGGGGTTCTTGGGCCGAGTTCAGGGTACCCGGGATGACTTACGGGCCAGGAACCTCAATGGGTCAGTCAGCTAGTAGGACTGACCGTTGCATGATGAGGGGTAGAGATAGATAGGGTAGATGGCTAGATGGAGTAGAT